CTGCAGGTTGGAACAGGAAAAAATAGCCAAATTACTGTTGGTTATTGGATAGGCTGCAGGTTGGAACAGGAAAAAATGATCGAATTACCATTGGTTACTGGATAGGCTGCAGGTTCGAACAGGAAAAAATAGCCAAATTACTGTTGGTTATTGGATAGGCTGCAGGTTGGAACAGGAAAAAATGATCAAATTACCATTGGTTATTGGATAGGCTGCAGGTTGGAACAGGAAAAAATGATCAAATTACCATTGGTTACTGGATAGGCTGCAGGTTGGAACAGGAAAAAATGGCCAAATTACCATTGGTTATTGGATAGGCTGCAGGTTGGAACAGGAAAAAATGGTCAAATTACCATTGGTTACTGGATAGGCTGCAGGTGAAGACAGGGAAAAATGGTCAAATTACCATTGGTTATTGGATAGGGTGCAGGTTGGAACAGGGAAAAATTAAAAAATTACTGTTGGTTACTGGATAGGCTGCAGGTTGGAACAGGAAAAAATGGTCAAATTACCATTGGTTATTGGATAGGGTGCAGTTGAAGACAGGAAAAAATGGTCAAATTACCGTTGGTTACTGGATAGGCTGCAGGTTGGAACAGGAAAAATAGCCAAATTACTGTTGGTTATTGGATAGGCTGCAGGTTGGAACAGGAAAAAATGATCAAATTACCATTGGTTACTGGATAGGCTGCAGGTTGGAACAGGAAAAAATAGCCAAATTACTGTTGGTTATTGGATAGGCTGCAGGTTGGAACAGGAAAAAATAGCCAAATTACCGTTGGTTATTGGATAAGCTGCAGGTTGGGACAAGAAAAAATGGTCAAATTACCATTGGTTACTGGATAGGCTGCAGGTTGGAACAGGAAAAAATAGCCAAATTACCGTTGGTTATTGGATAGGCTGCAGGTTGGGACAAGAAAAAATGGTCAAATTACCATTGGTTATTGGATAGGCTGCAGGTTGGAACAGGAAAAAATAGCCAAATTACCGTTGGTTATTGGATAGGCTGCAGGTTGGGACAAGAAAAAATGGTCAAATTACCATTGGTTATTGGATAGGCTGCAGGTTGGAACAGGAAAAAATGGTCAAATTACCATTGGTTATTGGATAGGGTGCAGTTGAAGACAGGAAAAAATGGTCAAATTACCGTTGGTTACTGGATAGGCTGCAGGTTGGAACAGGAAAAAATAGCCAAATTACCGTTGGTTATTGGATAGGCTGCAGGTTGGGACAAGAAAAAATGGTCAAATTACTGTTGGTTATTGGATAGGCTGCAGGTTGGAACAGGAAAAAATGATCAAATTACCATTGGTTATTGGATAGGCTGCAGGTTGGGACAAGAAAAAATGGTCAAATTACCGTTGGTTATTGGATAGGGTGCAGGTTGGGACAATGGCCAAATTAAAGAAGTAAGATTGTATTTTAGCCTCCCAAATAAACTTCACCAGTTGAAAGCCATTTTTAGAAGATGCAGCTGTATTCCTCATAAGAGGTCATAAATTCCAAGAATGTGACATGTAGCACACATCATAGCATTGTAGAAGATGCAAATTGTTGGACAGAGAATTTTTTATGCAGCATAGCTATGTAAATACTTTTTCATGGTTGGTATTAGCAGGTTACAATATATGAACTTACTGCAACCTTTTAAAAAGATTCTCTTATTGAGAGAAGTTTTTGCAATAGAAGATTTTTTTAAAACAATTTATTTAAGTAATTTCCCTTCAATATCTTATTAATCATATGCAAAATATATAGCTACATAATTGGAAAAAAAAATAAACACAACAGCAGTTTAATGATTTAGTTCAAAAATTTTATTTGCATCATTTATTTTCAACAAGAGTCTGAATAAAAAAATAGAATTAGCAATAAAATAGGAAAGAGAGAAAATATAATATCTATATATATCTATCATTGAGATACAGAGTAAATAATTATATAATAATAAAAAGAGGGAATATTGTCCAAACTATATATTTGGAGAGAACAACACACAGTCAGGGGGGCATACTAAATAAGAGGAGGAAGGAAGGAAAGAATGTGGCCGAGTATGTACAGAGGAGGATGGCACCTCATTGCTGTCGTGGGGGTTGGTGGGGGTAGCTCCCCTGGGGGTAGGCTGGGTAGCCTGCAGGGTAGCCTGGGGCAGCCTGCTGCTGCTGTTGGGGCTGAGGGGGGTAGGGGTAGCCTGTGTAGGCTGTTGCTGGAGTCGGCACTGCCACATCATTGGTTTGTTGGAGTTAACATCACAACCTGTTGTATATTGGAGAATATTCCTAAACTGAAATTATGGTTTGGGTTATAAAAGGTTTTACAATAATTTTTCTCCACATATATATGAGATTTAAAAATTACTTACTGGGAGCATAGGCTTGGCCATAGGGGTAGGCAGAGTACATAGTGGAAGACATGGGGGGTGGGTATGTTGCATAGGGGTTGTAGGGAGGGGTGGGGAATGTGGGGTAAGGGGGGTTGGCCGCAGGAGGAGCGTAGTAGGGGCGGGCTGCATAGGGGGCATTGGTGGGGTTGGATGTTGGGACTGAAGGAGTGCTTGCGGGAGGAGGGGCATTAGCTGGTGGGGCATAGGGGGAGGATGCAGCACTAGGAGGAACATAGGGGGCACTGGCTGGTGCTGGAGGCTTGGGTGGAGGGTTCTTGGCTGCTGCTGGAGCAGCTGGAACACAGACAAACTTTGTTTACTAATTGGTGCTCTACATAGTTGTGATGATGTATTCCATGGACTCTAGTAGTCTCCCTTGAGAGACTATAGTCTAAAAACATGGTTAAACCTGGTGTTTCTGGAGATTGTCTCTTATTATACACTGTCATGTTAGGCTAAGTCTTGGGGAGGTTTTCAACTGAAACAGAGTCTGGAGAGAGACCAGTTTAGCCATGTTTGTAGGCCCTCATGAGTCAAAGAGGAATCAACCTCAACTTTCGCTGTGATCATATATTAGCACCCCCTTTTAGGTAAAGTGCTCTATATCTTGTTAATTTAAGCTAGGCTGAAAACACCCAAATAAATGAGCCTGTGATGTAACAAAAGACTACTATTTTATGCCAAGGACTATGGTGATTTTTCAAGCCAGCAATAGTGGAGAACAGGAAACGGAAGAAAGCAACAAGTTTCACAGACTTTTTGAACTAAGGTTTGTATTATGGAGTGCAATATGATAAAATATGACTCTTTTACAAGATTATACACTTATACAGCATTAACATATAGAAAATAGGTCAATTAGGTGAATTAAAAAAAGTGATTATTATGAGGTGGAATTTTATCTGTGTATGCAACTGTCCTTTAAATATATAATGCAAAAATTTTGAAAAAAAAAAAGAAAAGAAGCCAAAAACTGTGGTTAGGGAGAACCAAAGTTGTCCCATTGGGTTACAGTGAGATTGAACTGTAAATGTAAGTGACCTATACATATTGTAAAATGAAAACAATAAGTATGAATATAATGGAACCTGATTATAACATCACTTTTGACTGTTGCTATGACCATGATAAAAACAATTGGAACCTTAGAATTATGATAAGTTGCTGTTATATAGGAAGTTGTTATAACAAAATTTCATTGCACTGAAGATTCCCTGACAAAATAAAAATAAATAATTTGTACAAGTGATAACCTGAAGTGATGTCTGCAGCAGCAACACTCACCTGCAGTGGGAGCCATATTGGCAGGGGGTTTCTGGACCTGGCCAGCAATGGTCTGTTGGATGTCCCGGCACTTGTCCTCCTGTTCTGTGCGGCGGGCAAAGCAGAAGTCTGACACCCTCTGCTGGAACTCCATGAGCATGTGGGTCACATCCCCGTAGAACTCTGTGCCTTTGTCCAACTGGAAGCTGCAACATTGAGGTGTTAGGTCCAGGAGGGATTTCTCAGAATGCAGTCAGTCAACTTACAGCATGTCAAGGAAGGCATCGTAGGCTGCTGCTATGTCCTTGAGCAGTTGGTCCCTGGCTGGGGTGGGCACTTTGTTCTTGCCAAACTCTTCACTCACTCTCTGGAACACAAGGAAGGTCAGAAATTACTTTATTTCCTTATTATCCCACATGGCCATGATAATCATGGTGGATAGGAATTTGAAATTGCTTATAATGTGAGTGCACCTTATGTCTACACATTTGGAAAAGAGCTACACTCTGCATTTAATAAAAGTGTCAAGTCTTTTTGGTTACTTGGCCTTCACTGGCAGGGTTGGAATGTAGGGGGCCACTGAGACCATTTATAATTTTTTAAATGTGTCCAATGTAGGATTCAATCCTGGTTGTATTAAATCAAGACTGTAAACTGCACCCCAGCCCCAAAGTCTGCCATCACCGACATATTTAAAACAATTGATATTAAAATGAGAGTATTGCTGAAGGACATGTTGAAGAAATGTATATTTCAGTAGAAAATACAATGGAACCTCATTATAACAGCATTTTTTTTTTTATAAAGCTCCAAGTTTTAAGTCCCAATTGTGGTCATAACATGGTTAGAACAACATAAATCTCTTGGTCTCAAATGATGCTATAACAAGAGGGTATGTTAGTTTTAAAATACATATTTACACACAGAGCTTTCAATATAAGAGAAGGTGTATCAAATTAGAGGATTCCATATAGGTCACAGTAAAACCATCACCTGAGACTAAGTGACATAGTACAGTGTCAAGTTTTGACAACCAAGGCCCAAATCTTGCATTAGGCACTTTTTTTTTCTTAACAAAAATGGCTACCATGGTCTCTCTGATTCATGCACCAGTCCAAAGCCCCACCAGTGAGCCCAAGTAACCAAACAGGGCCCATGCACATTTGAAGTGCTAAAATTCAACTGAATTATACATATGTAGATATGTAGAATGACATTTGAAAATATCCTGCATGTCTTTTTTTTTTAACGAAAAATCAAAATCTATTTTAAGGAGAAATACGATTATTTCTAACCTTAAGGATGAAGTATGAAAGGATGAATTGTGAAGAGTAATGATAAACGGAAAAAAAAAATAAAAGTAGCCTAGTGGACATGGAATCTGCCCAGTAAGTGGAACACTGTGGGTTTGATTCCCATCCCTGGACACTTTTATTTTTCCCGTTTATCATTACTCTTCACAATTCATCCTTTCATACTTCATCCCTAAGGTTAGAAATAATCGTATTTCTCCTTAAAATAAATTTTGATTTTTCGTTCAAAAGAAACACATGCGGGATATTTTCAAATGTCATTCTACAATCATAGGCCACATTATATTGTATAAAAATCACTATATGTAGACATGGTGTACACTACAATGAAAACAGATCACCATGTCTAAAGGATGCCATAAGGAAACAATGGAACCAAATGACAGAGACACCTACCTGGATCTCTGACACAAGGGACTCCTGACGGACCACACTGTCCTCCACCTTCTGCCTCAGGTCCTTGAATCCTTGGTCCAGGGTCCTGGAGCTGATGGCTGATTCATTGATGGCTCCTTCTTGGGCCAGAGCATCCAGGAATTGGCTCTCTGCACCACACTTGTCTCAAATCTCTCTCTCACTAGAACTTCATTTAAAATCAAAATGTATTTCTCCTTATATGACCCTAGAACTTCTAATCAAGTTACTCCTCCAAAATAGATTCTTAAAATAAAAAATTTGATTTTTTTTTTATTTTATCTAAAAAAAAAAAAAATAATAAAAAACATAAAATATGGATTTCAGAAAAATATTACACCTTTTTGTAATTAATTTTGAAAATAACCTGTCAAAATCAATTGTTAACAAATAAATACATAGAAAGTTATTTTATATTCATTTGTAGGTTTAAAAATATATATGAAAAGATTCAAATAGTAATTGATACATGATATTTCAGTAACGGCAGTGTTAACATCTTCAAACAAAAGTACTTAACACTTTGTAATAATCATATATAATCCAAAATGTACCTTAACATTATTATCATTTAATACATTTGAAATGGATTGTTCCATTTTCAAAAAAATTATTTGGTTAACCCAGGTACCTGGAATGTCATCAGCTATCCAGAGAGGTTGTCCTTCAGACTTTTATTAGCAAGGCAGATGGAGGTCCTATTCATGAGGTGGCACCAAGCAGGTTCATTTCTTGAAAAGCTGTACTTTATCAAAAAAGTATATTGTAGCAGAGTTGACAGTGGAATGGTAATCCCTTTCTTTGTTGCCTCACTGCTCCCTGTGTATATATAAAGTGTGGCACTCCAGTAATCTGCCATGATACATATACTAGAAAGTGTGACACACGCCACCTTCATTCTCTATATTGTTAATCAAAGATTAAATTCCAGAACATTCCTTCCCACCCAAGAGTTAAAGCCACTTACTCATGTCAAAGGCAACAGAGTTGACGTCGGCTTCAATGAGCTCCCTCTCCTTGCGCAGTTTGTCTACCTCTGCCATCAGCTCCCTGAGTCGTGCAGCCGATGAGCTGGAGGTGGCAGAGGAACTAACTCCCCCTGCGGATGGCAGATGGGCCAGGATCTCTTCCTGGGGGCGGGCCATCAGCTCCAGGGTAGCCCGGTACTGGCCGAACTTGTCCCGCACCGACTGGTCCGCATTCATTGCGTTGTTCAGGATTGTATGGTACTTGGCTGAAGTAGTGCGGAAGTTGGAATTGAGTTTTTCAGAGGGGGTGCGGGTCCACTTGTCCTTGAACTGGCTGCGGAAGTGGTTGTCGGAGGTTTCCTCTTCCTTCAGGAGTCTCTCAGCCTGAACCACCACCATCATCAATGTAATAATGGGCTATTACCATTGTCCTCAAAGTAGGATTCAACTGTACACCTCGTATCTTCCAGATATTCCATAAACATCACTTATATACATACAGAAAATTTATCAAGGCATATACTATAGTGGTATATGTAAGTACTGACCTCTTGCAGGATTTCACGGTTCCGCTCCAGGAGGATGGGCAGCTCAGCCACTTTCTTGTGGATACTCTCAGCTCCTCCCTTCTCCTGGACCTCCTGGATCTTCTCCCGGATGGACTGGGGCAGGGCCTGGCCCCCTACATCCTCTAGGGCTGCAGGCAGATTGAGGGAAGCCAGCACCCTGCAGCAGTCCTCCCATTGTAGGGTAGTAGTTTGTACTTAGGAGTGAGGAGGTTTTGTTAACTAGCAGGCCATGGTTATCAGAACTTGGAACACCAAATATATGGATGACATTAGGCCACTAACCAAATTTCATATCCTAAATGATCTTTTAATGGGTAAAGAGCTTTTGTAAAATGACTAAATCATTGGATAATACATACATGTTACAATTTATAAACGTTATCTTAGGTATCACTTAGCCCTAACCTGCAAAACATTCCATCACAACCACTTTTCCTGTTTGTAAATAATTTAACTGTCTCTACCTAATAAAAAAAACCTTCTATACCTCCAATGTATTGCAAATAATTTAACCTTTTCAATCTATAACAAATGAATGAACAAAAGTTAAAATAAAATTCAATGCTCTGACAAAGACTAAAAGTAAGTCAGCTAAATAACCTGGGTGAGAAATAGAGGGGTTGCACACAGCTAAAATTATATTATTCTTCCCCATCCAAACATGTCAGCCATTTTGCGATGGCATAACACCATCTGATTGGTCCCCTCTGGTCCAGACCAGATGGTACAATGCAGTCGGGTTTTGACAGCAGACAGTGTTAACAGAGAAAAGACAGCAGAAGATGAGCAGAACACACAGTCCAGTCCTGACTTCCCGCCAGTGAATCTCCCATCTCCTTCAGGACTTTTCACCAACTTCCCGTCAAGCCTTGCGCACAGCTCAAATTACTCATGGTTTAAGAACCTCCTTATTTTCATTGTTTTTGTTTGGGAGATTCTTGCTTCCGAAATCCATCGTGTGTCTTGTCTTCTTTAACAAAGGAGAAATCGCTTGGCCATTGACTGCAAAAACCAAGAAAGTAGTAGGTCCGGATTGACTGTCTAGCCGTGAGGGATATTTCTTCCTTATTAGTGGACTTTTGAGATCATCACATATATATATATATATATATATTTAAATTGCACTACAGCTATACATTGTGGCAACTTATAGATTGTCAGCCTTTTCCAACAAAGAAAAATATATTGCATATAGATGCATATGAACTTTCCTTGAAAAGAGTGTGAGTGGGTCACTGAAACCTTGGAACAAATACTTAATTTGATTTTCTCAATTCCAAATCAAATAATCTTAACCTTCAAATATAAGGTAACAAGACCAAAACCAAATTAATGAAATGTTGCGATATTTTGTAACAGCATTATTACTGAAACATTACAAAATTTCATTAATTTGGTATTTCAGTCTTGTTATCTTTATTTCTAATATATAATATACAAATTGCACCTAATCAACTTTTAAATAGGATGTTTTCTCCAAAAAATTACCATCTCATAGTTTTAGTATCAGTTCTTGCTGGAACAATCTAAATGTTTCTAAAAACAAATTTAAAAAAGAGAGAGATATTGGCCAGTTTATTATCTCCCTCCTTGAAGTTGTAAAAGATGTGTCTATATATGGCCACAGTGTGTCATACATTGTCAACTTACGCATTCAGCAGCTGGTTTTGCTCCCTCAGTCTGCCCAGTTCAGTGTTGACAATGTCGGTTTTCCTCACATCGAACACCTGCACAGCTTGCTGAACGGCCACAGGCAGCAGATGGCTGAACAAGTCTGCACCACCACAAGCCATTGTGACAAACTGAAATAGAACACATTACACATAGTGACTTCACTTCAACAACAATAAAGTTGTCCCCAACTTTGTTGCGTGAAGTGCTGATTTCAGAATTAAATCAAACATTAGAAATAAAAAGAAGAATATTAAAAAAGCACATCATATTAAAGGAAATTGTTGTTAGTGACCTTCAAGTCAATTTAACTTTTGGTATAAGAACAAATATTCTTCAATTTGATCTATAATAAAAGAAAATAAGACCTAATCCAAATAATTTATTAGTGTGTGACGTTTCGGCAACAACATTGTCACCATCATCAGACAAAAGAATAAAATTTTATTCTTTTGTCTGATGATGGTGACAATGTTGTTGCCGAAACGTCACACACTAATAAATTATTTGGATTAGGTCTTATTTTCTTTTATTATAATCTATTATCCAAATTGTGCTTTATCACTTCAATTTGATCTGTTAGTGATCATCACTCACCTAGTGACCTTCTGGTAGATTTCTTGACCCCGTTGCTCATTGTAGGTCTTCTTCTCTTTAATTTTTCCCAACATTTTTTCTAAGCCATTTGCTTTCATTATGTGTCTGAAGTAGGTCAGTCTTTGTTTACATATTTGGGATTCTAGGGAGATATAATAGGATTAATTTCATTTAAGATTGAAATATTTGTCCTTTTACGACCACTACTGAGTTAAAAATAGGGGTGAAATTATTTTTTTTTAAAAGACCCATAACCCTATATGGATGGGCATTACAAATAAGTAATGTTTGAAAAAAATAAGGCAACAACATAAAACTCTTATAGAAATGTCTAATAGGGCGCGTCCCCAGGTGGCGGATAGGGGAACGACCTTCAGATATGAAGGCCAGCTGCGAAACAAGCAGAATAACTCTGACAAATAAGCAGTCGCGGACCAACAGCAGCATTGTTAGAAGAGGAGTAGACCTCTTTAAAAATCCTGACTTCAACTAACCCGGTTGATGGACCTCAGCAAGGGTCCCACTCCAGGGATACGGAGGAGCTGCGTCTGTACTCATGTTAGAGTCGGCAGCAAAGGCGTCTGCTTCCATGTTAGGAACGGCCTTAAACTACAGGCAAAGTCAGACTTTCACCAAAGTGTGCCTGGATCATGGTGCCATGATCAACGAAAGCTGCACCCCTACACCCCATTCCTAGCTCGAGGAGCATGAACTCATGGAATTTGTGTAATCTTTACACAGGGGGATAAGAAACAACAACAACAACATATTAAGAATTTGTAACATGAAATTAATCCAATTAGATCCCTAGAATCCTAAATCTGTAAAGAAAGACTGACACACTTCAGATATATAAGGAGAGCAAATGGTTGTTTAGAAGAGACATTGATGCAGGGAAAGAGCT